CAGTCTCTACTGAACTAAAGGTAAAATGTAGTTGTTAACTTGAAAGCTACAGCTTCATGAGATCATGAGGTGACAAAAGCATTTGGAGCTGTGGGGATGTAGACAGACTAATAATAAAAAGTTATTCAAATGTGTGAATGAAACAACATGTGCACAGAAACATTCTGTCCTTTTTGTGTAATATAGGAACTTTAATATAAATTTTTTTTTGTAAAGTATGTCAGAAAAATGATTGGGTAATTGACTTTGGGGCCAGAGGGTGGGCAGTCACAGATGAGCTCCATTGCTGTAGTCCTCTTCAGTGACTGGAGTGTTCACCTCACAGCTGCATGATCCCAGCCTTTCTCTGTGGAGTTGGATATACTGGTGTACTTGACACTATGGACCGTGTGTGTTTGTGTGTGTATGTGTGTCTGGCTGCAGCAGCTTCACAGGAGCTCCTGAGCCTTGTGCTTGCTCCAGACCTTCTCTAATAAAAGTGAAGAATGCAGAGAGCAGGCCTCTTCACAGCACACGCCTCCACACTTTTTCCATATGAACACCGCCTGGCTCCTCCTGCCCACAGTCCACTCCACTCAAGTCCAGTCAGCTTAAAGGAGCTCTACCTGATTTTTACAGTCTCAAAAACACAAAAAACAGAACTAGTTCATTTTAGACAGTGCATGTTCATTCTGCAGTGGTCCAAAGTTCTTCTTCACTTATCTTTTGCACCCTGAGCATCCTAGTTATTCACCATGATGAGTTTGTAAGCACTTTTCATAAGCTTCAGAGACCAGAGCGGAGCAACAGGCATGCTAACGTGAACATCCTGATTATCGGACTGTGCTGTATAAGTAGAAACAGACAGTGCACAGCAGACTTATCCTGACCTCACACAATATATCTGCTCAAATATATGTGAATAAAATATGTTCCCCTGCGTTTGGAGGAGGAGATGAGGAGATGGAGAGGCTGAGGAGACTGACAGTTCTGCTGCTGAGGTGGAGTGCACATACAGTACTAGATAGATAGATAGATAGATAGATAGATGGATGGATGGATGGATGGATGGATGGATAGATACTTTATACTTTATTGTCCTGAAGAAAATTCATTTTCCAGTGCAACAATACATAAAAATAACAAAAACAACAACAACAGTAATTCAATTTATAGTGAAGCGTTGTATAGCTGTGTAGCACTTGTATATCCAAAACCAGTTTATTTATAAAGCACTATTAAAAATAACATGGTTGACCAGAGTGCTGTCCACAAAGATAAAAACATATGTGTAATACAATGAAACTTTATATACAACAATTGAACAGTAAAAGACCTTAAAACTAGTTAAAAGACAAAGAAAACAGGTGTGTTTTAAGAAGTGATTTAAAAGCAAGAAGAGAGTCAGCTTGTCTTATGTGAATAGGCAACTCATTCCATAATTTAAGCCCAACAAAAGAAAATGCTCTGTCTCCTCTGAGCTTTGTCCTGGACTGAGGAACAAGAGCAGAGCCTGGTCTGCAGACCTAAGGGAGCTTAGAGGAGAGGATGGCACCAGCAGGTCAGCAAGGTGCTGCGGGGCAAGGCCATTTAGGCATTTAAAGACAAATAAACACATTTTAAAATCCACTCTGATACGAACAGGGAGCCAGTGAAGGGCAGACAGGATTGGGGACACGTGGTCGTATTTCTGTGAACCAGTTAAAAGACGAGCAGCTGCGTTTTGGACGAGCTGAAGCGCACCAATGCAGTAATCCAGTCTTGTGACAAAATAGTGGATCAAAATCTCAAAATGGTGTCTTGAAAGGGATGGCTTTATCTTTGCTAACTGCCTCAAATGAAAAAAAGCCTTTATCACAGCATTAACTTGTTTGTCAAGTTTAAAGTCTTGATCAGTTTTCACTCCCACGTTTGTGACAGTGATTTTGACAAACTGTGCCAAGGATCTGAGGTTAACTGGAACATCACTACCAGCACAACCTGAACCAATTAGAAGATCTATCTGATGAGGTGAGAGACAAAGGTACCAGGCTGTGATTGGCTGACAGTAACAAGAGGGAGGAACCGAAGTGAAATGTGCCCAAGTGTCCTTCTGAACCGGATGCCCTTCCACATCATGTTTAGTCACAGAGGCAGACGCTCAGGGAACAGTGCACCTGCTGTAAAAGTAGGTCGTCTGAATGTTGGAAAAGGTCACGTTTTCAGTGAATCATGACTAGTCTGAATAAACCCAGACTAAACCAAGACTTTGGACTAGACTGTAAATTAAACCAGGACTATAGACTAAACCAAGACTGTGGCCTAAACACAGACCAAATATCAAAAGTTTCTTTTGAGTTCTGAAACAGTGTGGTGCTTTGGCTGTAGCACTTTGCTTTTTAAAACATCAGGTCAAAAATAATCTTGTTGTGACAATGGTGAGAGATGCACCGATACTGGTATTGGATATCAGTTTTGCTGGATCAGGTATCAATCCCATGATATTGGTTTATCCGATATCATAATTTGGCCTTTAATTTGATAATTACAGGATGAGTTTGTCTCATAATGTTTCAACTTTTATTCACACAAAGCTGTTCAGTAAATAAAGAACAACTACAACAACTACACACCACGCTGTAGTACGTTATTGTGGCTTGGAGGAAAATGCCTCTACACTGGTATTGGTTAATATCGGCTATTAGCAAATACTTAAAGCCAAAGTATTGGTATTGGTATCACTGATAAAGCTGCATAGTGCATCCTTAACAGTGACATGTGCCGGTACAGATTTTTCTGAAGGTGTTCCAGGGCAGAGCTCACCCACAGCTCTGGTACATCACTCAGTCCCTGTTCTCTTGGCCTACGTCATCAAAGGTGTAATACTCCCTACAGTGAATGTATAGGCAGATTGGACCTGACTGGACTGGACTACACAGCACTATCACAGGCCTGAGCGTTCATGCAGGGCCTGACTGAAGTAGAATAGAGCTCCAACTTCAATTTATTCTACAATCATCATTCTGCGATCTGTTGTTTTCAAATGCTATAAACAAAGTCACTTTCATTTAGACGCTCTCAGGCCCCTGTCCCTTTGCTCTCTGTGCCAAGTCACTCCCTCTTCAGAGCACTACTACCATGTATCCTTCTAATGAAACTCCTGCACGTCACAACAGGTTTGTCAAGTTGTTGTGTACAGTTTTGCATCATATTTTTGTTTATTTATGGAGAATTGTCATGTAAGAGCACAGGTGACATAGGCTTGTGGGCGGAGCCTTGCACAGAATCTTACTGCTAATTAAAAGGAGCGTTTGAATAGAGTCTGGAAGAGATCGCTAAATTACTCAAAGATACAAGGATATGAAAGAGATGAGAATACCCCCTCTTTAAAGAGGCACAGTGTAACTTTCCTAGTGGAAGATTTGCTGCCTGTGTGTCTTTACTTTGTAGTTGATAAATTATCTTGTGTGCAGTGTTGGGAGTAACGCGTTATAAAAGTAACGAATTACAGTAATGCATTACTTTTTGCTGTAACGCAGTAATGTAAGGCATTACAGGGGAAAAATAGTAATATTTTACTCGGTACAAATGTGAGTAACGCGCGTTACAGTGTTTTTTTTTTTTACCTGGATTGAAGTGGTGGGTTTTTCTTCATACAAATTCGCTAAAATCACCTCGATATCAGCAGCGGTGAAACGGCGGAGATGCGCCCTCATAGACCTTCAGGTAACCGCGGGCGAAAGGACTGACAAAGAACTCCACGCTGTTTAGACCTGGTTTAGACCTGGGTCAGTTCTGGTTTAGACCTGGTTTAGACCTGGGTCAGTTCTGGTTTAGACCTGGTTTACACTCGTCCCTCCCTCTATCGCAGTTCACTTTTCGCTGTCTCGCAGATTTTTTATTATTATTATTATTTATTTTTTTTGTGTGCAATTTTGCATGCCCTGGTTTTTTTTTTTTTTTTTTTTTACATTGTATGAATGCGTATTGCGTTCCTCCCGCTGCGTCCTGACTGGCCAAGGGACTCCTGTAAAGTACAGTACAGAATGTGTTCAGCTGCCAAATTTAAATACATGTTCAATCTCTAGCAGTGTGATTCTGAAGTGCTGTACGGTTGCAAGTTTTCTCCCCGACGAAACCCACAATGTCGACGAAACGTTCTGCACCGACAAAGGCTCCTGCGCTCGCACCCAAAAGGCAGAGGAAGATGCAAACCATCACACAAAAAGTTGGACTTCTGGACACGCTGAAGGAAGGTAGAAGTTACGCGCTGTAACAGACTCTTGCACCGGCTCGGGAACCTGCAAATAGTTGCTGAAATCAGGGCCGCGAGCCCGAGCAGCAGGGTGGCCATAAAGAGCGATCCGGTGACAGCCGCTCTTACCTCCGTGAGGTGTGGAGCAGAGCCGCTCCTTTCTCCTGCGGTCACCTTCAAGACCGTCCCTACAGTGAGTCCTGTTTTAGTCCTAGTTCAGTTCTAGTTTAGTCCTAGTTCAGTTCTAGTTTAGTCCTGGTTTAGACCTGGTTTAGTCCTGGTTCAGTCCATATACAGCGCAAAAGTTATTTTGGTGAGAGTAACTTAGAGTAATGCAATAGTAATGTAATGCCTTACATTTTAAATGCAGTAATATTGTAATGTAACGAATTACTTTAAAATGACAGTAATAGGTAATAAATAACGCATTACAGTTTCAAAGTAACTTGCCCAACAGTGCTTGTGTGTGTGTGTGTGTGTGTGTGCGTGTGTGTGTGTGCGTGTGTGTGTGTGCGTGTGTGTGTGTGTGTGTGTGTGTGTGTGTGTGTGTGTGCCAAAAACACAAGTATTCTCTCCACAGATGTAACCTGTAACTTGGCGTGATGATGTCACTTTCTGGTGGAGAGTATAGCACCTGCCTGTCTCCATGGAGACGTTATTGCTTTGGAGAAAGCGGCAGACCCCTCATCGGAAAAGTTGCGTAGTGCACCTTTAAATGTAACAACTCTGGACAGATTATTCTTCATTATTTTTCATCCGTCTGTCAGACAGAAATAAGACAGTGCAGGCCTGTAGTATTTATAGTAGGTCTAGTCCCACATCGTCCCGCTTTGTCCCACTTTAACGTGATTTATGGCAGATTCTGATCCCACGCGCCCTGGCTGCGCGTCCTCGGAGCGAAGCAGATGTGCCACAGTGTTCGGTTTTTTGTGATGGAAACTCGGCGTCTCGGCATGTGTCCTGTGTCCCTCCCCTGTGTCCCACCCCCGTCCCCCTCCCGCGTGTCCCCCGTGTCCCTCCCCCCGCTCGCGTCCATTCACTCTCCTGCGCTCGGCTTTTCATTCAATCAGAAATCATAAAGAAAGAAACGACAGAAGTGTCCGCAGTCAGTCACGTGAGCCCCGGCGCACACGGAGCCTCAGACCCCCTCCGCGGGTCCCTTTGTCCTGTCCGCTTTCACTGCTGCTACCTTCACGAGCCCTCGGAAACCACACTGCTATCTGCTGCACTGGGTTTCTTTTTGAGCAATAACTTCCCCTGCTGTGGAGTTCGGTGGGATAGAAGCCTACTCAAAATGAACTGACAAATAGTCTGGTAGGCCTCTGTATGTAGTCTGTCATGTTATTAAAGGTCTAGAGCCATTTTCTTAAAATGAAATGAAATGACGTCTGACCTCTGTTTTAGTACTCACTGGCTCCTGATTACTTTATGATGAAGTGTCAGGTAAAAAAGTGTCAGATAAAAGGTTGAAGTGTCTTGGGGGAATCGAACTGTCAAAGTGTTTAAAACGGGGTCAGTGACTTTCAGCAGGACATGGCTCAGGCTTTGGTTTAATCCTGGACCTGGTTGAATTCTGTTTCAGTTTTAATTATGTTAAGAATCCAGCTGGTTACGATTCTCTTCTGTGTTTTAGTCAGAAAATATAAGCCTAGTTAATTAAAGAGTTGCTTTGGAACTTCTCCACGGTAGACAGACGTTTTATGCCACACTGCGGAATATTATAGAAAAACAAACAACATTTCCATGGAAACCAGCGGGAGAAGACCAAAATGAGTACATTTTATAGAGCCCAAAGACAGTAGGACGCACGTTTATCAGCGAAATAAAAGCAAAAAATGAAGATAAAAACAATATTTTATATTTGTCTAAAAGTTAAATATTGTGGCTTTTGAGACTTTTAATTTTCACTGAAAATGAAGGACATTGCACGGCCACGCGCAGCGCATTCATTGATGGAGGCGTATTGATTGTCCGCGTGTGCGTGAAGGCGTCTCGAGGCCGTGGGCACGTCAGCCGCCCCCTGCGCTCGCTCTAGCAGCCAGTGAGAGGGAGATGCTCTGAGCGCCACTGCAGCATCTCCTCCGTCAGTCCGCCTCTCCAGCCCGGTGTAAGTGCACGGCCACGGGACAAGCCCAGCTCAGCCCGCACGGACCCCTTCTCCCCCCGGACACCTACGGCCCCGCGCTCCCGTCCGGATCGTGACTTCGATCGAGGCTTGTTGTTGCTGCGTTTCCGAGGAGCGCCATCATCCTTTCCCTGGCGCTCACGAGAACACGCTCCCGTCCGGAATGACACACTTACCGTAACCGGGGTTTTTACGATGGAAAACTGACGCACTTTGGCACGTTTCCCCGTTTCACAGCTCGGCCCGTGGTGCTTTTGTCCAGAGAGCGCAGCATCTCTCCGCAGCCCCGTTACACAGGCCTCTCTTCGCTCCCTTCGCTCGCCTCCTTCAGGACTCCTCTACGCGGTGACGGCTGCGCAGCGAGAAAAACACAAAGGGGACGGGATCTAACACACGCCCGAGCACTACAAGCAGCTCCAAAATGATGGCAGGCGGAGCAGTGCAGCAGAACGGCATCTTCTCCACCCCGCACCACCACAGTCAGCAGCCGCACATGGAGTCCGACCCGCCGGACTCACGGAAAAGACCCCTGGAGACCCCCACGGAGGCCAGCAGCACCAAGCGCACCAACACTGGAGGTAAGAGCGTGCACTCCGAGCAGGTGCGCTAGCGCAGGCAGCATCAAACGGGACGCGCGGACTCACCTCTAGAGCTTTGAGTGTAGCGGGGGAACAAAGGGGCGCTGTGGGGATGGGGGACACCGGGCCCTAAGCTCGGTGTGCGGGGTACACAGCCGTAGAGCCGCATCTTTAAAGAGGCACCGGAGCAGGCGCAGGATGTGACCGCAGATGTCCGTGCGCGACACTGTCGTCGACGGATGACCTTGTGCTAATCTGACACAGCGTCCGCCGCCGCTTTGTGTCATAACAAAAGCGGATAAACAAGCGGCGGCGGCGCGGCCTTTCACTGCGACACTGCTCTGTGCGCGCGGGCGGGCGGCACAGAGCGCGCGACTGTGTGATGGTCGGTGGAGTATGGACATGTCACCATGGCAATCACCATATTTGGGTTTTGTTTACATGTCATGCGCCCAGCATCTCCATCCGCGGCATCCCAACCATCAGCAGCCTATGGCCATGCACCATCATGGACACGCACGCAACACGCACGCAGCACGCTCGCACGCTGTGTTTACAACGAGCTGCTGCTGAGGAGGGCTCTCTGGAGAACCACAGCTGTCTGTACTAACCACAGTGTCACCTGTAGTGTCCATAGCCCTACATGTAGTCAGCATGTGGGCACAGGACATGAACAGAGGGGTCTAGAGGCCTTTGCTAATGTTCACATCTCCACCGGCCTGTTCACTTGTTCCACATGCTCCCGCTGACATTTCATGTACTCATGAGTTAGCCTGCTGAGTATTAGGCTCAGGTCAATCAGCCAAATATAGGCAGACAAACTCCTGCCCTGGTCCCCTCTGTAGATCTACTGTCCCAGAGGCTTTAGACCACTGCACAGGCCCACATCTGCACTTCACACTGTGTGACAGTGGATTCATGCAGTGCTATAAAGACCACAGACATCTGCTCCTGGAGGTCTGCTAGATCTCCTTTAGCCCCATGCTGCAGACCTCCTCATGTAGGCCCCTCATGTCCTTCTACATCCTCCTCCAGACCTGTTCCTCTGCAGGCCCTTCACCAGGCTCCTCTGTAGACATCGCTGTAGGCTCCTCTGTTGACTCCTCAGTGGATATTGCTGTAGACTCCTCTGTAGACTCTTCTATAGACTCCACCGTAGACTTCTCTATAAATTTCTTTGTAGACTCTGCTGTAGGCTCCTCTATAGGCTCCTCTGTGGGCTCCTCTGTAGACTTCTCTGTAAACGCTTCAGTAGATTCTGAGTCCCTTTCTTGTCAGGGACATTGGGGACACCCTCCTGACAGCAGCAGCTTGTCCGTGTGACAGATCCAACTCTTTCATTGGTTAGGCCTGGATAATGAGATTTAGCAGGTCTTCGTTTGACAGCCTTTTAGTCCAAAATTACATACTTAATTCTATCAGAAACGCTAAGTATGATTATTATTATTAGTAGTAGTATTAGTATTAGAAGTATGAGAAATGCATGTGTTTTTACATTAGCCACCTTTTGCACTGGTATAGACTGGTCACTCTTAAAACAAGTACAAAAGCTTTGGTTTAGTGGAAGAGAAATAAAAGTAGTGTGCTGCTGACTGTACCCACACACCCACACGGCCGTCTCTTCTCTCCAGTGGCCTTCCTGCAGCCTCTGTTTGAAAGCGAAGGCCTTGTATTCCCTCCAGCAGACTCTGACACTCATGGTAAGCCCCAAAACTTTTGCTCTTCTCTTTCTGACCCTTGACCTCTGACCCCTGCCCTCTGACCCCAGGCCTCTGACCTTTGGTGGCGGGGTCTCGTGCCCGCACCAGGTCCGTGCATGCGCCCGCCCGTCACCCGCATCCGCCCGCTTCCTCCACACCGCCTCACCCCATGCCAATCTCTGCACTGACCCATGTTTGTGCCACTGACCGCTGCACTGACCCCTGTACTCACCCCTGTACAGTTCCCTGTACAGACCACTGCACTGACCCCTGTACTTGACCACTGCACTTACCACGGTACTGACCCATGTTTGTGCCACTGACAACCGTACTGACCGCTGCACTGACCGCTGTACTCACCCCTGTACTGACCGCTGCACTGACCAGTGATAGAAATGGTCTGAAATTTAGTCGTCAGGACAATGCTTCTGAATTCCACTTGATTTAAAAAATATTGTACCGTGAAACCATGAACTCGTACTGACCACTGCACTGACCAAGTAGACAAGTTTTCAAGGGTAATCCTCTGGACAAGCACAGCACTGACCGTTATACTGACCACTGTATGACCGCTGCCCTGACCTGTCTGGCAGCCTGACGTCTCTGTATTCTGCACTGTACTCTGTCTGGTGATACTGTATCGAGCTTTGATGTCTTGTTGAACATTCTTTCTGGACCAATCAGAGTTGGGGGGCGGGGTTTGGGATGAGACAAACCAAAACACTTAAAATGGCAGCAGCACTGGGCCAATCATATGCTCTCGCTTCAGATCTGTAACCATGGTAACACAGTAGTGCAAGTTTAGCTGCTCCTGGATTTGGAGGAAACACTATAAGAGTAAAAAAACTCCAAATGAAACAGAAATGTGATTTAAAAAACAAAGCAGTACCAGACCAGAGTTAGTCTAGAATACAGAGTCCAGAGGGAGGTGCACCAGGCTCCCCAGTCAGCCCCTCTGACCTCTGACCCCCTCTGACCTCTGACCTCCTCTGACTGTTAGTGATGGGCAGATATATACCAAATACTGATACATCGATACTGACTAAGGTATGAAAAAGTACTGATTCTTATGCACAAAGTGTGATACCTAAAATGTGTCAAATAATTGCAGTTTATGGATATAATGTTTTTTTTTTTTTTTAAATACGCTTAGTTCATTGTTCACATATACATGACCAGTGAAAAGTTTGGACACACCTTCTTCTAGATACACACAGAAGACATCAAATATATGAAGCAGATGTATTTAATTATGTGGTAAAGAAATAAAAAGGGTTATATCTTAAATTCCTGTAATTCCTGAAACAGTTTTCACTTCACAGCTGCATTAGCATTAGTTCAAATCAGTGATCAAAGCAAAGAGTAAAGGCTATTTTGAAGTTTG